TTATTGATTTGATATGAGTTTTTTATCTTTAATTTTAGTGTCAACTGAACCTCGTTGGTCTTCAATGTTTTGATAATTTTATCGAGTGGTGTTTATTGGAGACTACTTAAGAAGGACTAAAAGATTAGAGCACTCAGTTGTTGCTTATTACGAGCTTCTAATATAGAAAGTCATTAGAGCTCCACTTATATTGTTTGAACAGGACTATTTTTTTTCCATCTTGGGTTTTTCCCAAATAAAATGTTGTCGAAGTTCACTATTGTATATATGTCAAAAATACCGATCCACACTAATCTTTGGAAGTAAGGTTTTGAAGCGCATTTGTAATATATAAAAAAACCTTATAATCAAAGTACAAACAATTTGAGAAACTTTGCACTTTAAACTTTTCTATCAAAAGTTACTTAAGTATTAATCCATCACGCCAACCTTATATATATATATATATATATCTTTATGTTAGTATTCTGATTTTGTTGAGAAATTACTGTATGTCGTGAATTATAACTACATTATAACTTCTCTCTATAACTTTATTTTCTAAGTCAAAATAGGTGGATAATGTTTAATTACTAAGTATCTTTTTCACTTGTTTGACCTCTCAAAATGTTAATATTTGATTGCATATCATATGATAACTAAAATTATGTTAATCATTTTTCTTTTCTTACCACTATCAAGACGTGCAAACCTAGTTATCACGATAAATTATCTTAAATTACATTTTGATTACATTAAATCATCAACATCCGTGACACTTAATATTTTTTTTCAATCAGGTCAAATATTTGTCTGTGTATATGGAGCCAGTTCTCTTTAAATGGTTCAATAAAATTATGAATTTGCATTAGTATTAAAACATTATTTTAAAATTTCAACTTTAGAAGTACAATCTTCTAAATCAGGTCAGAAGATACATTTCAATATTATGGATTTTTATCGGTTATGTTGTCATTGAAGTAGCTGTGTTTTTCATACTTCGACTTTCAGGAAAATTTCACCATAGTTTTATAAAATAATGCTATATCATGCGCATTATGTATATTTCTATTTATAATAAAGTTAGAAAGACATTGGTTATTTTATTATTCTATTTAGTAGCTTTATGACAAAACTTTTTTTGAATGAATATTTTTTGTATACTTTATTATTAGGTGTAACCCTTCTTCATGGTAGATAATCTCTGTTAAGTTTTATTTATTTGATGGGAGTTCAGTCGTTAAACATTTTATTTCATCTTTCCTCTTAACCTTTAGTCATCTTTTTCAAAACATAGATATATAAGTCAATTTATTGACTGAGTCATCCAAGCTTCATATGCAGCCACTTACAAACTTTCATCCTCAAGTGGGTCCTGAAGTATTTTATGGAACTAATCAGGTGACACCAGATGGAACATGGTCTAGTTTCCCAATTCTTTGGAGAACTATAAATGAAGTTTGTTTGCAAGCCTTTTCTGTTTTTGAAAATTACCCAACAAAAGATCTTTCTGTTTTATATAGAGAATTGAACGCCAATTTATGCAGGGCACATGCACTTGTTTATAAACTTACTGCATACCCATGCCATGATTGCCCATCACTAGTGCGAGGGAATAACTCTTCTAGAGTTGTTGGTGATAATCAAGAATGTACTCAAGTCTTAGTAGTTTATTATTTATTTCGGGAGTTACTGAAAAAGCAGGTACTTCAAAGTAAACAATCTTTAAGTGCCGAGTCGTACACTATTTCAGCCTATCTTGATTCATTCGAAAAATATTCTGCCGGTGTAAACATGACAAAATGTGTATTCACATATTTACAGTGGGTTTGGCAAAAGGTGGGCTTACCGAGTGAGCATACCATTTTACCTACTGAAGTCATCTCACTACATATATGGACTGAGAATATCCTTTCAGATGATGTTCGTAAAAGCTTGAGTATCAGCGCTATGAATACTATAAATAAGATGAGGGAAGGTGATGAGGTTGATTACGACACAATAGAAAATATTAAAAGACTATCATTAAATCTATCAATGCTTAGTGACGGTCGACAACAATTTTATGCCACAATCTTGGAGGAACCCTATTTGATCAACATGGGCACTTTTTACATGGATCACATAAAGGATTACAAACGCTTAGGACCTGAGAATTACATAGGTGTTTATATCCGTAACTTAAAAAGAGAGGAATTTCTAGTTAAATGCACTTTGTCTCAAGTGTCGTTAGAAAGGGTTCGAAACCGTTTGGCTGAGATCATATTGCATGATGAGGTCGAATACTTTGAACCTCCAGTCAAATCTTGCTTTGCAAATGACTCTGAAGATGGTAAAAGCAAGGCTTGGCTATCCATCCTTTATGAGCTTCTTGAAGCAGGCTCGAAGAGTTATTGCATTGAAGATGTTATCTCGTCAAATGTATCGGAAAAGGCAAGAGAATTGATGATGATACAAAATCAAGAGCATCATGATAACAACACTCCGATAGTAGATCTGAACTTTATTAAGAAAACATATTATGCACAGAAAAAAAAAATTATCGATATTTTTGGAGTAAAACGTCCTTTATTAGTCGCTATGCTCTCTGGACTTAAAGTTGCACTGCATTCGTGCAAAAAATCAAACACTCGACTGAATGAAAATTTTGAAGAGGACGTTGCTAATTCACTAGCTGTGTACGCAGTCAGGGAAACTGATACTTGGCTTAATAATCCGAAACCGGATGGCAACTGGGTTGCGGATATGTATGGCCTTATTGAAAAAAAGGAGGTGTTTCACTCAAAGTATACTAAACTTCTTAAATCTCGCTTATTGAAAAATATTTACCAAACGGAAACGAAAGCATGTTTTGCGAACGCATTCGAGAAGGAGGAACACATGCTTTGCGATCTTTTCTCACGGGGGAAGAATTTTGACTTTGCGCACTCTTGTCAGATTATGTTGAAAGACGTGTATAAACGCCGATTTCATGATGGCGCAACAGATCGTGCACCATTTGAACTTCGACCTATAGTTCTAAACAAATTCATTTGGGATGGCCTTGCGCCACCTTTCAAACAGGACACAAATTTGTTCATAGAAAGTGTTGATCATGCCTTGGATAATTTCAATATAACATATAAAAAAAGTATCGCTCCAGGGAAGTGTCTATCCTTCTTACCACATTATACCACTTGCATTGTCCGTATGAAAACCGATGATGCCACTCATCACAGTGTGCGTCTAGTCCTTTCTGCTCTTCAGTTGCAGATTGCTATGGCGTTTAATGAAAAATGTACATGGGTGCTATCCGAATTAGAAAAAAAAATCGACGCCAACCACACTGAATTTAGTGAGCATTTTAAAAAATTTATTGAGGCAAACATATTCGCTTACTCATCTTCTTCTAAATCAGTTCACGTCATCAAGTCTATCAATTCAAACACCAAAAAAATTTTCTTAGTTCCTGACATTCAGCATGAAAATGTTCAGGAGGTAAAAAGCGAGCGTTCTCGAAGTGTTGTACCTCTTGAAAGAGAAAAAGGAATGGCCATTGAAGGTTGTATTGTAAAGTCATTGAAACAGAACGGTCTTCTTTCTATTGAAAAGATTGAGGAAGCTGTTTCTAAAATTTTGGATAAATTTAGCATTAATCGTCGTGATATCAAGAAAATACTTGATAAATTAATAGAAAGAGAATATGTATTGCGTGAGGAAGCTTCAAATACTTTCAGATTTATTCCTTAAATAAGATAGCTATCATTACTATTATACATGCGTATATCTATATATCTTTTATTATTTCTGAATGATACTATTTTAATCGCTTCGGCACTACTTGTGACTTTTTTTTTTTGATAATCGTGCTATAATGTGTCTGTCATGGTCGATGAGATGATTCTGAACTCTAAATATGTTTCATTTTAAAAAAGTGTTATTGTTTTTTCTTTTTTAAGGATCTAAATAATCTATGTGCGAAAAATCTTTACAAATCATTAATAACCTTTTGATTGATAATGTCTCTACCCCACTCGATTTCGTGGAGACCTGTGAGCACGTGACAACGATATGCAAGCAAACCTTTTCATGGAGCTTGTGCGAAGAAGTCGTTTCTCCTCAGGTAATTGTAAACAACATAACGACCGCCTACATTCTTGTCTACCATCTCGTTTCCCACCCATGCTCAAATATCCCCGATACTATTCCAGAGCATGCTCAAATTATTGAGGGACAACAAATATATCTTGTATATGAAAATATGAAGACCATGATTGGACAGCATCTGATAGATAAGGTTTTACCAAAGTTTTGCCTTTGCTTGACCTCACGAGATTCCATCATCGAGTTGTATGTCCAACAGTGGAAATTTTTTCTAGTATGCGTCGTAAATCTAAAGGCGATATTTTCTTCCCTCCTTCAGTGTTATAACTCGATGGAACACACTGAAAATAAACTCAAAAATACCGAGGACACTGCATTACTGAAATGGTCTGATATTATTCTCACTGAAGAAGTTCAAGAATATCTTTCTCATGAATTTTTGGACTTAGCAACCGAGAACAGGTACAATGTAAACGGTCTGAAGCACCAAAATCATTCTTTAGATTTTGTTGAATCACCGGAGACTTTACATTTTTACGATGCGAATGAGTTAGCGAGTCCGACAGACGCTGTCAATTCGGATCGCCGTAGTAAGGTTTCTTATGTGAGCGAGGTGAGGGATGCGTTGGTGATGTTACCAAACCCAGAATTCTATAAGGGAATTATTGAGGATAACTATATTTCTGAAATGTGTCATTATTACACAGTTGAATCTGGACTTATGGAAAGTCTTGGGATTTATGAATATTCGATTAGGACCCTAGGGATTATTCAAAGAGAGACCGAACAGGCCAAACGATATCTTTTGTCGAAGCATGTGGCGCTTGATAAGCTTGTGGATGTTTTCGTGGACCAGCATGAACTTTACTTCGAAGAATCCCCCCTGGAGAGCTGGCTAAGAGATAGTAATGAAACCAAACGGAAGGAGATTCTATCCGTATACAAATTACTTTCCTTGAGTGAGAACGTTGGTGTTCCTTTCATTCAGTCTCTTTTCACACAAACTGTTACGAAGTTGATAGCATCGGAAGTCGAAAGGGTGGCGATGACAACAGGTGGCGATACGTACGGTAGGATTATTCACACATTCCTTACAATCACTAATCAACTGAAGCACCTCGTTTCGGATGTTTTTTTCAGTAACGTAGGCATGATTGAAGCAATGGAAAAGGGTATAAGGCAGAGCATCCTACAATGCAGTGAATCAGTCAATTTTAAATCATTGTCTAAGCGTCTTGTATCTATTTCTTCTGATGCATTAGTTAGATCAGAGTGTGAAACAGATATCTCTCTAACGATAGAAGACACTGTCTGCGTGTATTACTTCTTGCCTGATTCAGAGCCATCAGTAAAAGAAATTTTTCTGATAGAGTACCAGAATTATCTTGCTCGAAGATTGTTATTTGAAGCGTATGATTTATCTCGTGAAAAGGCAGTTCTTAATTTATTAGCTCAAGTTCAGCAAAACCAAAGTTTATTTTTCTGCAGAAGTATGGTCAAGGACATCGAAACTGAAGCTGCTCGTCTGAAAAGCTATGCAAAGGGTGGAATAGCTGTCTCACCAATTATTATTTCTGGGGGGATGTGGCCATCTTCACCTAGGATAGCCGCCAGGTTACCAGATTCTTTGCAAGGAATAATACAAGAGAGCTACCAAGAGGCCATTAAAAGACATTTTAGAAGTCAAGTTAATTTATCAATGGGATTTTCCTCGGCAATATTAGTTGTAAATTTCCCTCACAGGCCACCATTTCGCTTGCGTGTATCTTTGCTTCAACTGTGTATAGCTTTATCTTTTAACTTAAAGAATGAGTGGAAGTTGAGTGATCTATGTGAACAGATTGGCTGCTCCGAGGCAGATTGTAGCTTTGCTTTAGGTCCGTTCATTAAAAAGACTATTCTGCAAAGTATATATCCCTTAGAGACCATTTCTGTCATACGAGTTGGAACTTTTAAAAAAGTTGGCTTCTCAAAATATTTTAATTTAATACCTGACACTTTCCGCGAACCACTTATTTTGCTTTCTAATTGCAATATGAATACTACTACACACACTAAGTTGCAGCTTGGCTCGCACGCCATTGAGAGCCGTATTGTTCAGTTACTAAAAAACAAAGGGCCGCAGCCTTTTGATCAGCTTCTTCAAGATTTGAATACTATTTTCCACCCATCACAGGTGAGCGTATTTGAATTCAAAAAAAGATTAGAGAATATACTTGCTCGCGGCTTCATTGAGCGTGACCAAGACAAATGTTTCAAACTTATTCCTTGATGTTCATAATGGGCATTTTTTTTACTAACCACATATTATTGTCGACCATGTCAAAGTCCCAGATAGTTTTTGCCCCATGCTCTGACAAAATTAATCAAGAGTAAGGGTATGGTACTTCTATTCATTAAAGGTAAGAATTCCTGTATTTTGTGTGTATCTTTAAATCTTAATTTCCTTTTAAATTTTCAAAAATATATGCAACAAGGTTTTATGAAAGGGTACTATTTGTTTGTTTAAGTTTTCTACAAGTTGATTATTTTTTTCAAGTAAAAAGTCCCTTTTGAAAAACCAATGCACATAATTCCTGAAAGATTCTACAAAACAATGAACAAAAGTTGTTCAGGATGGATGAAGGTTTCTTAAACTTTAAAAAGACGGTCCGAAGTATACAAGGTCTTGCTCATTATGCGCAATTTTTATTTAATACCTTAAATGGACTGTTTTAAACCGACACTAGCGTATGTATCTTAGAACACTTACGCCAAAAACACATGTTTTCATTTTCTGAAAAGTTCTTAGTGAAAATGATTACAAAAGTGCAACTGGCCATTATAATTTTGCGTTCTATTTACCTGAGCAACATTTGACCAAGAACGTGGCAGTTTTACTGTGTCTTATTTATTTGTTGATCAACTACATTTGTTTATCTTTTCATTCGTTACCAATGTTTACTTTTTTTTTTTAGTAGGCCTGGAAGGATTCTCTTCTCACACATTCCTAAGTATAAACAGACTACTACAATTATTACGTAAAACTTCTGATTTGTGTTTACCGGAGTGAAAAAAAATATGAATATATTGGTTTAAATTCTATGCTTTTTTTAATTTATTGTCACAATAATGATCCTTCACCGAACATAATATCAAAACAAGTGGAGTATTTTTCTATATAATGGTCGAAACAAAGTTGTAAATATGAATAAATTAGTCATGATGACATATTTATTTTTATTGTGCACGCTTTTTCCATTTATACATATACCATATCGACTTTTGACTGTGATAATTTTGTAATCCTAAAAAAAACATTTTTGTGGTTAAATATTACCATTTCAAAAAAATAAAAAAATACTTGAATTTAATCCCTCAGAGCTCTTTTTCTAGAGTTTTCTACTCGTGTACACCTTTCCCATCACCTACCTACTGAAAGGTTCATTCAAATCATTTAAACACCTTCTTTCTTTAGATATCAAAGTTCAATAGGTCATACCAAGGCGAACAAAGGAAGGGGAAAAATAGAATAAAAAAAAAATCAGTCATGACCCAAGTAGCCAATGCAACGATCAAGGTGTTTGATATGAAAAAGAGCATGGTGAATTATGCTATCCAATGTGCCCACGAGAGCCTAACCAAAGGGAACAATGAACAGGAAGTAGCAGCCTTAATCAAAGCAGAGTTTGACAAGAAATATGGACCCACGTGGAATTGTTTTGTGGGACGCAACTTTGGGAGTTATGTAACGCATGAAGAAAACCATTACATCTACTTTTATATAGGACAGGTTGGTATCCTGCTATTCAAGTCCTCATAGAAAGGGTAGCACATCGGGTCCTTTTTTTCCCCTGTCTCATTATCTGAATTACTTTGTATGTACTATACGTATTCATCAATAATCATAAAGAAAAACTTTTCCTTGGTAACATATTTAGTTGCTAAACGATAGTACTACATGTATTAATATATTTGTCTCTTTTTTATTTAATGGGCTGTTTTAACGCTTTATAAAATAGAAATTTTTCTCTGAAAGGATGGTACCTAAATTAATTCCCCTATCTTCTGATTGGAAAACACCTCAAGGAGAGGTTGCCACAGCGGATTTTTTCAAACTCATCCAGGATCGCACCATCGCGTGGTGGCGACAAAATCAGCGAAAGGACTTGCCATGGAGGCCATATAGTGTTGATAAGACGAACTCGTTCGAGTTGTGTGATCCCTATAAGATTTGGGTATCGGAGGTCATGTCCCAGCAGACCCAAATGGGCACTGTAATTAAGTATTTTAACCGATGGATGAATCAGTTTCCCACCATTGAGGGATTGGCGAATTCTACCGAGGACGAGGTGCGGTGTGTGTGGTCTGGGATGGGTTACTATCGTCGGGCGAACTATCTTAGAAAGGGTGCGCAATACCTCGTGGGCCAAGACGCGACGAATAAGGCTCAGGGGCCGGTTGCCTTACCAAAGACCTCAGCTGAGCTATTAAAGGTGCCTGGAATTGGGCCATACACCGCAGCAGCAATTGCATCAATTTGTTATGGAGAAACAACTACATCTGTGGACGGTAATGTATTTCGAGTCTTGTGCCGACTAAGAGGTGAACGACAAATGGATCCTAAGGTACCCAAAAACCTAAAAACCGCATATTTATGGGGTCAGCAGTTGATGCGAGGTGGGGAAAAGGCCGTGTGTGCATTTCCTGGAGAATTGAATCAGGGCTTAATGGAGCTAGGTGCGTCGATTTGTAGGCCAAATGGACCGCCTTTGTGCAGTGAATGCCCACTTCGTAATCAGTGTGTAGCATGCTTTGAGTATGAAAAAAAGGAAATACCCGCTATTGAAGGTATTATACCTCTCCACGGGACGTCTTCCCCTAAGCGCATGGAAGAAGTTCTAACGGTTATACACGAGTTCACAAGTGTGGACCACAAAACGAGTCTGTTTGTGATGGTCCAGCGCCCCCCAAATGGGTTGCTTGGTGGGATGCTAGAGTTTCCCTCTCTCACCCTCAGCAGCACTATATGTGATGAGACTCAAAATTTCCTCAAGGAAGCTGAGGCTCTGGCATTTCTTTCATGCATAACCAAGAACGACACATCTGAATGTCTTTTTATACGTAAAACCGGTAAAGTTGTACATATTTTTTCCCACATTAGGATGACGATTCGTGTGTATCACGCTAAATGGATTAGAAAATGCCCCGATAAACTTTCAAATTCCAATGAGGACGATGTTATTGCTCGCTTAGCGAATGGCTTAGATAAAGCAAAGGGGTGCAGCAATTCTCGCGCCTCTATTTTTATTTTTCCCATCGATAAACTCAAATCCTTTGGCTCCAGTAGGCTACTTTTAAAGATCCTAGACACTGCTTGTCAAGTTGAGCAATCTCGTGAGCCACAGGGTAATGAGCTGAAGAAAAGAAAGTTGAAAGAGTAATTTTTTGCCTACTTTAGATTTTTTTAATTTCTTCCGATCTGGCCTCTTTTTCACATATATATTATCCACATGGCAATTCTACATTAAATAGATTCATCTAGCTTCATAAACATATTCATACCTAATAGAAGAGAACGAAATTTAGAGCTTTGATAGAGGGAAATAAATCTCACCATGCTTAAAAATAATCATTTCAATAAACGTGTCATGCCTTTTTTTTGTCTATTATTAACATTAATATCATAATCTAGTTTTCAGTAGAACCACGTGGACAAGTAAGCATCCTATTAAGGAAAATTAGATCTACAACCAAACATTATATATGAAGGAGTAACTATCCTACTCTCCTTTATTTTTTTTTGCACTTGTGGATTAATGCGGAATTGGTTCGAATATGGCTATCAAGGATTTCCTTCCGGAGAGCAACGCCGACGCTTTTATAGTCAGCGAGATGACCCATGTGGTAGTGAGGACGAGTGTGATTTCGACAATGATATGAACGATAACCCCATTTATTATTACCCACTTCGTGAAAGTGAAGGGAGATGTTCGAGCTCGAGTAGGGTAAGTGAGCTAGATGGGGAAGTGGAACAGGGGCGTACTGAACATTCATTGCCATTTTTTGTGCACACTACCGCGTACACGGCGATTCCAGCGTGGTATGGATCTAGTTTCATTACTTTTACTTCTCATGCACCCAATAGTTACTGTCGCCGATATGGTCTTTGGCATGGTGGCGCAGCGGTGGCAAACCGTAACGTTGACTCCCAGTTTCATCTGGCAGAGTTGAGGTCAGTTTCACAGACTTTAGGGTTGACTCACCCCCAATCTCCGGCAGTAGACTACGTCCCTTATCCAGAAGACGCATCCTTAGCGGCGCTCATTAAATGGCCGCTTCTTCATTCCGCTTTCCACGTCCAGGCGGACGACGGTGAGGTCCTGCGCGAACGACGAGTGCCGCGGTTCGGTCACTGCGCAGTGTCCGTGGATCTTCCATCCGGACTATCCCCCGCCCTTCTCACTGCCGTGGGGGCTCCCACCGACCTCGAGCTTCACCTGTCC